TCTCTCTCTCTCTCTCTCTCTCTCTCTCTCTCTCTCTCTCTCTCTCTGTGTGTGTGTTAAATATTATCTTGAGTTTTGCTCCAACTGCAATCATTGGCATCGAGGCTAAACGGATAAATATGACACATTGTCCACAGGAAATGTCTCAACCACCCTGCTGTTTAGTTATTGGATACAGTTATGGAACTGGTGGCAAAAACATGTTCAAATGGTCCACCACTTTTAATGGCTGTTCTCCTATCACGCCGCCCGAGCTGCATCATGAAAACCTTTGGTACGTGAAAACTATCACTGGCAATGCCACTTTGTATCCGTCAGTCAAACCTTCGATACTGGCGGTACCTGACCGAGGTCATAATAGTTTTCTTTACATTAAAAACATGTTTGCAGTACAAGTATATTCACATATTGCGTTTGTAAACTTAAGCTTCTGAGAAAAAACATTTTATTGTTTGTCACTTTTCTCTATTCATTTGAATTGTAAATGACACAAAGTACACAGTAGAATTTCGTATTTCTGGCTCTGCACTACTAGTGTGAGTCACTTCACCACCTCCATGTTTATAAGAACAAACAATGATTGGGCTGTTGAGTGCCTTATATTGCTTGCTAAAAATGATTTTAGTGATAATGGAGAACATTACTACATCTCCAAAATTCTTATATGGAGGTATCATGATGTACACAACTTGTATCCAAATTATTGCGCCGGAGTTAAAAATGTTTAACACTTGAGATCTTTTCTTGAGCGCTTCAAAAAGGACATAAACGCCTTTTCTCATGGGCTTGTTGTGTCGACCTCTCCTAGCAGCTGATTCGACAGTATTTTGGCTGCCTTCTCATCATAGACCTATCTGGATCTACAGTATGCATGTACACCAGTTAAATGTTGTCCTCACATGTAAACTTGTTTACCACATACTTCTTGTAGCAGTAGATCTCCACTGGGTCTGAAATGCCATACTCTCTGAGCTTTGGGATCAGTTGGGCACTCTTTTTAACAGCCTGGTCATAGCGCTCACTGCGGGACAGGAAGTTTGGGTCCTCCTCCTTAAAGTCCGGGTCGCTGAGAACCATCGACTCTATAGTGGAAATTAAATCAAATGTATCTTTTGGTTAAACAGCTGCTCAAAGTCCACATTTTGAGACCAAATACATCATACAGTTGCACTCAAAATTATACAACCCCCATTGCAAATTAGATTTATTGGCAAAATGTACAAACTTTCAGCTGTTTTCAATGAACAACTCTAACAACTTGAATAGGTCAACACAACTAAGACTCTCCTAATTCAACACACAATGCCACTTTTAATGACTACTGCAGTCTCAAAATGACTCAACCCCTTCATGGGATGCAATTAAGAGACTCTGAATGTACCCCAGGTATTTGATGTGTTCTATCCCAAACACACCTGATGCAACCAATGAGGCCCTTGATAAGTTGCATCAGGTGTGCTTGAGACAACATCTAATTTACATATGTGCGCTGTTATGAGGGATTCTATTATGGGAATTTAATAATTTTGAGGCTGCAGTAGTCGTTGAAAGTAGAATGTTGTTTGAATTTGGAAAAAACACTTGTAACATTTTTAAATGTGTATACACACCGACACTTTGGTACATTCAAAAATCTCTTTCTTTACAAATATATTAAAATAAATAAATATGGTCTTCATTTGTCCATGAATTGGCATGACCAGATCTGACCAAAGACAGCATTTGTGGTGTCAATCGCAATTAAAATTTAACTTCAAACTCACCAATCTCTCGCCGTCTTTTGGTCTTTTCAGGCCCCCCATCTAAAATGTGGGTCAGTTTCTCGACACCAAAAGTGGCGTTTTTCCGCTCTCTCATAATATCAGGATTCATGGTTCTGTATCTGACTGGATATCTACACTGTAGTGTGAAAAGTATAATAACAAATGTGTTTTATAACCTCCTGCAACCTCAACCTGATGGGTCCCTGGGTTCTCCTCCTCCTCCTGACGCAGCCGCAGGGAGGGGCGGAGACAAGTCATGTGACATATACCCCGGTAGTACCATGATGGGTAACGATAGCGCACAAGACTTCCACACCTCTTCACCACCAACGTAGAGTTGTTCAACTATTTCAGAATTTTCTTTCCAATGACGTTATGCTTCCCGCAGCTGCAGTTTTTCATTTCCCCTGGGAAGTAAGCTCTGGAGCAGTGCGGGAGGGAGAATCAGTGAGGGTATTCGGCAGGTGGGTTTTGTTTCGTACTATAGTTTCGATGCTGTGACTTAAAATAAGATTTCTATTTTTCAACGAGTTTGTTTGTGGTAAAAGTCCATATCTGCGTTATGAGACGATGAATAGTGGCGGAAGTAGCAATCCACGTTTGACAAGTCAAAGTACAATCGTTTTATTTAGATCTGGTTTTATGTGATCTGAATAGAGAAAACGCTGTGCAATAATCCTTTATTGGGTTGTCACAAATTGATGAATAATTTCTCTAAACTGTCTCTTGTGTCTACTTGGTAATCTAGTCCAGGTCTTAATTTGACCTGATTTAATGTGGTGTGGATCAGCCAACATTGCGATCATCCCTTTTTTCCGTTTTCACACATTGAGAATAAAGGTGCCACAGATCTGAGGCTGTATTAAACGGTCCACTCCTGAGACAAATCTAGGTACTTTGAACTAAATCTGGTCTTATGTGCTTTAAATGGAGAAAAAACTAATCATTCTCAGAATATCTTGTCCTGTCTTCAAAATCTACTTAAGAAAAGTTACTGTAAGTACAATAACAGTAAATGTACTGTTTATGCAGCAGTACGGCCCCTGTAATTTTACACATAATATAGTTGAACTATTTATATGATAGCAGTATTTTAATGTTCTAACTGGTCGAACTGGAGCTGATTGTTTCTACTTTGTGGGGTGTAATCTGTAATAATGCAGCATAATATATATAAGATGGTCATGTGTAGTAAATATAGCATCAGATAAATGAATAGGAATACACCTTAAGAAAAGATGAAATTGTTTCATCAAACCTTCCTGTTTTATTTTCCAGACTTGTCTGCTATCAGCCTGAGGAGTCCAGGGCTACGCTGTCAGCTAAGCATGCTTCAAAAGAGCACCACGTGGTGGTTCACACCTTGTTTGTGGAGCCTTTTAACCCAATAATTGGGGCCCAGTACATAGTTCTGGGGGAGATTGAAAATGCTGAGGGTAAGGAAGGATCTGTTGTGGCGTGGGAATGCTGAATCACTTAATATTCTTTGTTTTTCTTGGGTCCACACACTTATCAAAAAATAAATTGACTGGCTACCAGAAAGTAGTATAGTGTGTGTAATTCACCCTTACGTGATTCAGGGTGAAGATATAAAATATTGTATTAAACGGCTATTGGGTTTAACAATAGTTGAAATAGAGCTTGAGGTCAAAGTTCTTTAACCCTTTAAATACGTGTGTGTGCCTCTTTTTAAATTTCACTCTCAGGCCTCTATCGCCTGCCCTTATCTGCATCTTCTCGTCTCGCAGGGGTTGGTGCGATGGTCCGGGCCCGTGTGCTGAACTGCGTTGACGGAGTCAACGTTGCCCTTCTACAGAAAGCCATCAACGAGCAAAGGAGCTTCTTCAGGGAGAGGGAGCACACATGTGACGATGCACAGGCAACCTGATCAGGAGGCTCGATGAGTATCAGGACTGCAGCTCTGCCTGTGAGGCTGTTTGCCATGGTGCGCTGGAGTGATGTTGTGCAAGATTAAAGACTGTTTGGTTGACTGTAAAAGACAGTTGACTATCTTGTCTACGGGTATTTGAAAATTATAGCCACAAATAAATGATTTGTAGTTTTTCTGTGCTGCCATTTTACATGGTGAGAATTACCAGTCTTAACATTGTCATTGTAAGTTTGCGGTCCCATATCATTCAAAAATGCTTAAACGGTTACAATAGATATGTTATGTATGGGTCACATGATATTGATTAAAACCAAACTATGGATATATGAAATGCAAGACTTTTCAGTACTTTGTACCTTGTAGAGATATCCATCATGTCATCTGTTACATGCTTCTATCTGTTTAGCTAGTTTGTTTAGCTGGCATCATTTTTATCATAGAAATAGTTTATGAATCCATGTTAAAATGTAATCTTCAAAGCATCGGCCTCTATCTATTACACGTTACGACCATAAAAGAAATTAAGCACTTTAATGCATGTCTGGTCCATATTTTGTGTTTATATATTCTGTGAACACATGTTTGAATTCAATATGAACAGTAACATCACGGTCTAATTAGTGAGCTATACAGGTCCTGGGCTGCATTCTACAGCAACGGATCCCAACCTTTTGACTTGTGAGACTGTCATAATGTGGACTAGAGCTTACATCATCCGTCTATTAATCGACTGGTCCACCAACCAGGAACAATTTTGATTGTTTAATTATTTTCTTTTTCTTTCAAAAATTATTTCTAGGTTCCATGGGTTATATTTGAAACCAGCATGGTCATGTACACCGGGCAGAGTGGGTGCCCATTATTTGTCATTTGATGTCAGGAAGGATATCGGTGTGTTGAGGAACATACCCTTTTACTCCTGACACACTTGGAATGCCTGACAGGTGCATAAAAAGTGATGATGCTGTTCACTGGGTTCTTAAAATGTGATTGAATCTGATATGTTCTTGAAAGTAAATATTGAGAAGCTTGTAGTGGCCCGTTTGTCTTATTGGAAAAGACTATACAGCTGTGAAAGTGAGGGAATCCATGCTCTTTAACCATTATAATTTAAATTTATTGATATGTGGTAGTTCATTAAGTATCAAACAAGATTGAGTTTAAAGTCAACAGTGTCAACGATAGCCTATGAGTAATACAGAATAAAATCAATAATTGTAAATAGCATTGCACCTTGTCCCAGTGTCCCTAATAAAACAATAATATCAAAGAAACTGCATTTATATTCTGTTTTTAAATTGCATGAAAAAAAACATCTGCCCACATCAGACATGTTTGGTAAACAAAGGCAACACAGCGGCAATTAATTGGCTAGACAGAAAGCTTTGCAGAAGACTTTTCCTGAGTCAAATTGTACATTGTAATTAATGTATGGATTTACCATGATCTAAGTTTTTACCACATTACTCCGCAGACCAGATAACTCCAACTATGTTGTAAACATATCTAGAATCTTGCATATCTAGGAGAGTTGTTACCAGACTCTTTGGAGTGGGTAAGTAGCATTGGTAAGCCTGACACTCGGTCTTTCTTACAGCGATCCAGAGCTTGTTTGTAGCTGATCTTCTCCTTTGTAATGGGGTCTACAATATCCTTGATATAGGTCGACTCGTTCTGCAACTCCCTCATCGCGTTGTCGATCATTTTGGACCCGATGGCGTCAAAGATGCTCACCCTGCGGCCGGTGTTGGGATTGACCAGACCTCCCGTCAGGTGCTGAGCCTCCATGTAGTGAATGGCAGTGTCCTTCGGCATCCAGCCTTTCTGAACAGCTTCTCCCACAGACAAGCTCTCCTTGGTCATGGGGTCTTCAACACCAGTGAAGGCCTTTTGTGCATTGAGTAGCCTCTGGAGTTGATTCTCCTCGATGAGGCCTCTGAGTGCTGCCTTCTGAACTGTGTACCTCTGGTTGTTGCTGATATCAATGATGCTGCCTGTTGATGCCTGAGCCTCCAGAAGTTTTTGGGCGGTGGTCTGGTCGATCAGTTTACGCGAGGTGGCGTTGCGTATTGTATAGCAGGAGTCAGTGTCTGTATCCATTATTCCAGCAATTGGGAAGATTTCTTTGGCAGTGGAGAGCTCTGAAAAGGCTTGGTTTAGTGTGGTGGACTTGTGGATTGCAGGGGCGTCATTAGGCCTATTTTAGGGGGGCTGAAGCTGGTTTGTATGTTTTCTCCCCCTTCAAATTACAATCAAATAGCCTATCGTCATACTTAACGATATAAGGTTGACACTGTCAGGTCCATTCTCCATCCATTGTGTGCGGTCCCTTTAAGAATTAGGATTTGGGAGTGACGCGGATATGAAAGCTAGTTTATCCGTCTTTCCTTTACAAGCAGGAAAATTATTTCTCTCTTTATTTAAGAAAAGTTCATATTTGTGTTGTCAAATTTCACGATGCCCCTGAAATTCTGTCTCTTGTGTTATATACTGAATGCAAGCAAAACTACAGAGCAAAATCACACTCTTTCTGATTGAACCAATCTATGAACTGTCTGAAACAATGGATATCCACGGCTCCAAAAAAAATTGCCGCAAACATACCACTCCCCTTGGGGCTAAGCCCCCCCTTTCTTTGAATCCTAGAAACGCCCCTGTTGGATTGAGTTGAGCTTCTTATTGTCACCCGCAACCAGCAAGGCAAACTCCGAGATGGGAATCTTGCCTGCTTTGTACTGTTGTAGATCATACTCTGTCAGCCGGCCATCTCTCAGGGCATCTTTGATGGAGTACTGCTTTCCACTCTTGCGATCCTGCAGTACAGATGTCTCTCCATCGGGTCCCAGGGAAGTAATCTCCTCCCAGTCACACTCGAGCTCCTGCAGATGAACGTACTGTTGACGATCAATCAGGCCCTGCGTGTAGGCATCGTACGGGGACATGTCTTTGCCTGTATCTGGATCCAAAATGGTGATTTTGGTGGAGACATTGGTCTCTTTGGTCCTTGTCTCTGCATGCTCCTCTTTGTGCACGTTCATTAGAAGCTCCCGGATGGTGCTGTCTCGCTGATGGATCTTTTCTTTTTCGTCCAGGATCTCATTCTCCAGGCGCTGAGTATCAGACCCCATCATCATGCTCTTCTTCCTGCTCTTCTGCGTTCTCTCGCTCATCAGCCTGCTCTGCTGCTGGAAAGAAAGGCCGATGTCGTGTTTCGAGGCCTCAAGTGTCCTGAGCTCTCGGGTGAGGTTGTCCCTCTCCCTCTGTAAGTCATCTTTTTTCAAATTCAGGGTATTCTCCTCTCTTGAAGAGCTGGATTTGTTGGCCATCAGAAAGTTTATTTTATCACTGAGACGTCTGATTTCAACTTCCATGTCCTGTCTGGTAAATTTGTGCTGAGTCACCTGTTCCCTCAGGCGATCCCTCTCGGCTTCGACGGCCTGGTCTTTCTCAACGCGGACAATCTCTTTGTACACCGTCCTCTCACCAGACTTCTCCCTCTGTAGAATCTCAAGCTTTAGGGTGATGTTACGGATGTCTCTCTGGAAACGCAATATATCGTTGGTTTCCTTGTCCATGTCTGACCGAAGGCCCGTTGTCATCCTCTCCAGTTTTGGGTCTCTTTCAACCTTCAGTACCTCCTCGACAATAATACTTTCCTCAACAGGAGGTGGGGCATTTTCCAGCTGTGTGATGCGCAGACGGATCTCTCTGAGTTCAAACTCGGCTTGAATCCTCTTTTGGTGCTCATCACTCTCCCTGAGGATCCTCTCTTTGTCTTCCACCTTTGTTCTTAGCTGCTGCAACTCTAGATCTAGCTGACGGCGGGTCTGTACTTCTTCATCCAGGTTCCTGCCGAGCTTCTCATGCTCAATCTGCTGCCTTGGGTCCTTCTGTAAACGCAAAACATCCTGCACAACCACTTTCTCCTCAGGCTTCTGCCTCTCCAACAGGATGTAGTTGTTTTGAAGGTCAAACACCATCTCTTCAGTTTTGCGCCGCAGCTGTGCCTCCTCCCGCACATCTCTTCTCAAACGGTCAGCTTCTTTCTCCATTAGAGGATCAGGCTCGTACTTGATGACCTCTCTGGTGAGGACTTTTGTCTCGATCTTGGACTTCTCAGCCTTCCATTCATCTCTATCTTTCTTGAGCAGTATCACCTGGTCGTGGAGGGAGTTGTAGGTGGTGCGTAAATGGTTCCCCTGTTCATTTAGCCTCCGAATCTCTCTCTCATTTTCAGGGCTCATTTCCTCCTTAACCACCTCTTGGAGAACTTCCTTCATCTCCACCTTGGGCTTCTCAGAGCGAAGGATAGTCACATCAGTGGTGACCTGGGTGATCTCCCTCTCCATATCAGAGCGCTGCTTGCTGAAGTCTTGTATGTCTTTCCTGAGCCGCATTATCTCCGCCTCTGTGTTGGGGTCTATCCGGTAGATCTCATTGACGATTTCGTTCACCTCAACTTTTGGCCTCCAGCCTTGAACTTCTTGGTAGCGACTGTGGAGCGCCATCACCTCTGTGGACAAGGAGTTGTTTTCAATCCTCTCTTCATCCAAGCTTGTTCGAATCCTCTTAGATTCGGTGATGAGCTCAGGGTCTTGCTCAATCCTTTTCAATTCCTTTGTGATGACCTTCGGTTTAATGTTAGGAATCAGTCTCTCAAGTGCATTAATCTGGCTCCTCGTCTGGAAGATTTCATCATTAATGAGCTTGATCTTGTTGCTTTCATCAGAAATTTCCGTCTCAAATGTCCGCACCGCTCTCAACATCTCCGGATCCTGTTCCACTTTCAGCACTTCCTTCTTAACCACCCTCTCTTTGATGGTCGGTTTCTTCTGCTGAAGAATCGTGACTTCTGTCCTCATCTGGATGTGTTCCCCATCTCTCACTCGAACTTCATCTCTCATCCTCGCCATCTCGTCTCTCAGTTTAGCGGCCTCTACGTCCAGCTGAGGATCTCTCTCAAACTCGGTCACCTCTCTGGTCAACAGTTTGGGTGGCATGCTTTTGAGAGTTTCCTCCAGGATAATGATTTTCTTGTTGAACACCTCAACCTCAGTGTGGGTGGTGCTACGACTCAGGGACTCTTCATGGAGTATTCTCTTCAGATCAGACAAATCGGTTTCCAGTTTTGGGTCGCGGTAATACTGCAGTACTTCTTTCTCCTCAACACGCTCCACTCCTCTGCGACTCTTCAGCGACACCAACCTGTCATTAAAGGTTCTCAGGTCTGCCTCGGCATGAACTTTCCTCTCCTTCTCTTCGTCCAGCTCTTTAAACAGACCGTCCAGCTCAAAAGCACTATTTTGCTGGCTTTCAAGCTGCACTTGTTGATGTGCCACAAGGTGGACTTTCTCTTCATTCTGCAGCAGGAAAAGCAAATTAGTTGGATAGCAATTAGTTGACAAACGATTTGTTTTGCGATGTAGCTTTAAGTAGTTTTATAGAAAACATGTTTTGTACTGAAAAGGTGACCTGCTTTCTTACTTGTGAAATGAGATTCTTTGCCAAGCCCATCTGTTTTTGGCGTTGGGTGTTTTCAGCTGTTGCTTCAGTGTATCGGTTGACCAGATCCTTTTCCTGCAATAAACAAGAGAGACAGCAAACCATCAGCCACCTTGATCTTCTAATGAATGTAACAAATTTACATTAATTTAATGAGTTTAAATGTTACCTGTCTCTGAACACCATCAGCCAGTGTCATCATAGCAGGTTTCTTGGCAACAGTGGCTCCAGCGTTCTCTAGTGTACTGTTGTATTTGTCAACGTTGACCTCGTAATCCTGCACAGACATGAGAATCAGGCTTAGAGCACAAAGTCATTCTCAGTCACAAAGTCAAGTACGCTTGTTTTCCCAGTAGTGGACTATTTGCAATTTATTTTTTAATTGAAAGACCATGAATTAGAAAGTTGATACAATTACGTCATCACTGATGGTAACAATTGGGATGTTTTAGTTTCCTATCACCAATTCAGTCCCTTGCTAACATTTTACAGCATTGTGTTACAATTCATTTGATTCTTACATTGAGGAGACTCTGCAGGTCTTGAGACAGGTCCGTCACTCTGTCCATGTCATCTCCCTTCCTCTTCAGGTCATCGATCACCCTCTGTGGTGAAAAGTTTAACAGACGTTAATCACTGTGAGTTATTTATATCATCTATCATTTACTTATAGCTGATTTTTCAGATTTGCATGGAGAGAAGCATGTGTGTAAATAAATATCAGCCTCACCTCTTGGGAGCTCTCCCTGGCAGTAACCTGAGACAGATCATCATTGCAGTTTATCGTGTTTTGCGGCAGGTGATCCAGGAAGGACTTCAGGGATTGGGACGTACTCTGAAACTCCTGGTTCTTGGTTCCAGCTTCTTGTAAGATGTTTTCTCTGGGAGAATTCATCAATATGACAGAAAATTAAACAATTGACTTTGTAAAAGCTCTGTTTTTTGTTTTCTTTTGTGCCTTTTCCTTAAAA